GACAAGCCACGACATGCCATGCGATTTCAATTATCGGCCCGATAATGGGAAGCACTCGCGTCGGATAATGATCGCACCGATATTGTGTACGACAGATGTAAATTTCCGCACGATGGATCACGAGGAAACGCGGCCCAGCAGTGTGTAGCGCATCAACGCGCATTTTCCGCGCGATTTCGACGCCTCCTTGCGGACCGCGTGCAACAGTGATGGGCGATTTTTTTAGAAAAAGTCGATTTTTGTATCGATCTGGAATCGAAATAACTGGAGTCGATTCTAAAAAAATAAGCAATAACTAATACATATATATTTATTTATTTATATAAAACTAAATAGTAACTAAAAAATCTGTCTAAAAGAATTGATTTCTTAAAGATCGATTTAAAAATCGCTAATTATTCATACACAGTCGGCGACGGAACTTTAACCTCGAGAGAACCTGACGAATCGATTATCCGTTAAAAAGAAAAAAAAATGAGAGAAAATGTTGAGGCGATATACGAATAGAGCAGCATCCGCGCGATGCTAAAGGGTGTCCCAAAATTCACGCAAGAAGTAATTTTGATAGAAAACACAGTTTTATAATTAAAAATTGTAAATTTTTTATTGATTCATAAAGTATACAGTACAGGGTTATGTATGAAACAGCATATCGGGTAAATGGCCTTCCACGGCTTTGCTGGCACGTATGCACTCTTTTGTTGAAATTTTCCATGACCGTTTTGCATAAATGTGGCTGAATTTCGTTGATACAGCGCTCAATCTCCTCCTTCAAGGCGTAGGTGGTCGTGGACTTGTTGGCATAAATAAATTAGACTTCAAAAAACCCCAAAGAAAAAAGTCCAACGGCGTTAAATCGCATGATCTGGACGGCCAAATCTGATCACCAAAACGGGAAATTACACGACCAGGAAATGACTCATGCAGTAATTGAATTGTTTCTCGGGCTGTATGGCATGTGGCACCGTCTTGTTGAAACCACATGTCGTCCACATCCATATCTTGCAATTTAGGCACAAAAAACTGGGTTATCATGTCGCGATAGCGAGCACCATTAACTGTTATTGCCTGACCAGCCGCATTTTCTTCCGAAGAATGGTCCGATGATGCCTCCAGCCCAAAATCCGCACCAAACAGTGACACGTTGAGGATGCATTTGTTTCTCAACAATCACTCGTGGGTTTTCTGAACCCCAAATGCGACAATTTTGTCGATTAACCAAGCCATCAAGTTGAAAATGAGCCTCATCGCTGAAGATGATTTTGTTCGAAAAATCAGCATCCATTTGTTGTTGTGTTCCATAATCCATTCAACGAACTCTCTCTTCGCTGTGGCAGTTTACCCGATATGCTATTCCATACATAACCCTATACTGTATACTTTATGAATCAATAAAAAATTTACAGTTTTTTATTATAAACCTGTATTTTCTATCAAAATTACTTCTTGCGTGAATTTTGAGACACCCTTTATAGATGAAATCATTGATTGAGATAAAGAGAAAAAAAGAGAAAAAGAAAGATCGCAATGATCGCGACTCGGAACGAGTTTTCTCCTTTTGCCAGATCGAAAAGTCTTAAGACGACGCGAGGGAGAAACATTCGCCCGAGTACTTGAAGTATATGACGCCTTAAACCGGCGGAGGGAACGAGGGAGGGAAGGACGGGGAACAGGAACGACTTGTCGAAGGAAAATGAAAGGAAGGAGCGGAAGGGTAATAAAGTGCTTCTCTCTCTCTCTCTCTCTCTCTCTCTCTCTCTCTCTCTCTCTCTCTCTCTCTCTCTCTCTCTCTCTCTCTCTCTCTCTCTCTCGCGCGTCGTCGTATCTGGTGCGTGACAGCTGCCGCCGCCGCGAGCTTGCTCAATCGGGGAAATATCGAGTTTCGTCTAACCGGCGAGATATTTCAACGTATAAAGCCGCTCTTATGAGATTCGACTTGGACGAGTGCGAAATTGATATGCCGCGAAACACGCTCGCCGAGATCGGCCAGCGATTCGCCGAGATGAGAGTCGCGGATAATCGAAAGTCGGAGAAAAGTTACAGAGTCCACCGGAGATCACTCGCGCGCTAGACCGTGTTGAATCGCGCACATCTTCAACTTTCGACGAGTACACGCGTAGAAGGAAGATGTCTCTGAGATCAGAGAAAAATTCACGTGACGGAAGCGCGGAGAAGAAAGAACAGAATTTCGAGATCAAATTCCGGACAGAACCAAATTTTGTTCGCGGGAAACAGAAATTCTACTTTTTTTTTTTTCTTTTCTTAAGGAGAACATGTTCGCGATTCGTTCATTTTGTCACATTAATTTTTTCTCAACAGCGAATGATTAATCATGACAATCGAAAACAACCGGCCGCTTAAGAAGCTCGCGTAGGAATCTTTTTATCCTACAACCGAGTTTCTCGCTTCCTTATTCCTCTCTCCCCGCGAGCAACGGGGAAAATCCAGTCTGTCTGACGACATGATTTCTGCCGTGCGACTTTACAGATCGACGACGCGCGCGGAGTAAGAACTTGTTAGAGACGCGCGTACTTTCGAAAACGCGATTTCACGAACGGTAAAAAATCGCATCAACGTCGAGAACGCGCGATGCAGCGCGAAGATCACGCATCTAATCGCGATCCAGATTGAAGCGTAACCGAAAGAAGATCGATCTGATGCCTCCCGTAGACGTCTCGAATGAGATCTTGAACGTGAACGTGAACAGGAATTAACCGCTGTCGTTATCTCGGCCTCGTTGATGCGAAAAGCACTCGTGGCCGCTAATCCGTTGACGCGTAATGTGCGATTAATCGTGCGCGTCGATAAGCGCGCGCGTCCAGACTTCCCACTTGTGTCATGTCTTATGTAACGCGATGATTATCGGCTTTATCGAATCGTGCACTTGAGTGATCATCGAGCGATCGGGACGTACTAATCACGGCGAGCCGTAAAACAGCCAGTCGCGGTAATAATCGGCCGTTTCATCGCCGATTTTCGATTTCATCGGCGCTGTCTCTATGCGGACGGGCGTTATCGATCGTTATCGAGGACGGTTCGCTCTCAGCGGTCGTCGAGGTGACATTTCACCTGGGTCACGCTCAGAATAGTCAAGCCTGGATGTCGCGAGCGAGTCACTTCATGCACTCGAGTGCCGCGCAAAGCCCGGCAGCAGCAGCAGCAGGTTCACGTCGCGCTTTGCTCGCCAACGTCGACGGCTAATGATTTTAACCTGAGTCCAAACTCCATCCGGACAAAGACAAACTCAGATGGACGTTTAATCGACGCTCGCAGAGACGCGCATAAATCACTCTTCACTAACGCGTCTCGGGACTAATCGCAAGAGAAGGAACAGATACTTTTAATTACGATTTAACTCTCTCATTATGGCGATGTTTCGAAACAATTCTCTCTCTCTCTCTCTCTCTCTCTCGGTCCCGACGTCGGTCGTCGGGAACTTTACATATTTTATATTATATTAACGATAACAACTATTTTTAAGAACCAAGGAATATCTCATATACCGTATGACGATATTAGACGATACAGTTATCTGCTGTGACTGTACACATTTTAGGAGATAAATGTTTCGGCTACGGTCGCTGCTGTCACGATAAAAGCTGTCGATAAACAGCGCTAACGTAGCAAGGGAAAACGGCTGCGTTTCGGCTCGGGGAAGTAAAAATTCGTTTACACGCGAGTACTCTCGAAAAGAGTCTCGGCTTTCGAGCTTCATCGCCAGGACGACAAATCACGTCGACGACGTCGCAGCACGTGGCACACGGGAGAGTGTCATCGAATCGCGGCAAAATTGAACGAACGCAGAGAACGACACGTCGTCGCTTCCGACGATTGAGATTGATGATTCGTCTTGCCGACGAGGTCTTCGCGGTATGCCGGATGAGTCGAGACTCGACGCGAGTACTCCGGGCTATCTGGCGAGTTTTACGAACAAACGTCTGATTCAGCACGCTACGTGTACGCTACGTGGCTCGCCGTAAACCGTGTACGAGCGAGATCGTTGAAGAACTGCTGGGTAATTGAGCAGCGACTGACTGGTTGGTTGGTTGACTGACTGACTGACTGACTGACTCAACGGCATGTAATTCGAGAATGTCAATCGGCGGAGAGCGAAGAGAGGTGCGCGCTGCGCGCCGGTGAACGTTTCGTTGAATAAACGGCCGCACGCTCGGGAAAAATAATTCTACGCGCGAGACACGATCGAGATAACGTGTAATCAGGGAACAAATATATATATATATATAATCGTAAGCTGGCTCTCTCTCTCTCTCTCCCAGCGATAAATGACGCCCGCGCTGTGTATAAACATCCAAGCTGGAAATTCGAGTCAACAGCGCGATCTCTAGCGGGTAAATTCGTTCGTTAATTACAGGAGAGGGTGCCTCGGTAGGATAGTATAATGTACGATTGGTAATCTAAAAAATTAGCGATGCGAGCGGAGCTGCTTCTCTCCGGACGCGAGAGCGCGATTATATCTCTCGGGCCGGAACTAAAATCATCACCTGTGCAAATAGTGGACCCTGCGTGCGGCCTAACACGATTTCAACTTGATACTCATGAGGCGCGGATGCGCGAAAGAGAGCGCTAACTCGCGGCGGAGAGAAGCTTCGCTCACCGCCATGAATTCGCCCAAGAACGAAAGGTCGAGGAGAGAATCTCGCTCGACTGCGCACGAAGAAAAAAGAAACCGTGTGCGCGCTCGGTGCTCGGTGTCGAGAACTGGGCCTTGCTAAAATTTTTCGCATTTTTTCCGTGCGCGAAAACAGGACACGCGAGGGACAGCTCTGAAAGTTTCCCGACGCATTTCTTGCGCTCCTTGAAAAGATGTGCAATTTAAAGGAAAAATATATCTCTATAGATTAATCAATCTCTATAGATATCTCTATAGATTAATCAATGGTTCGAGCGAAAAAGCACAAACACTTTCCGCACGATTATTAAACCTGCCGACTCGAATGTTCCGAGATCAGACGCGGAGAGTGGAATCGAGGATAACTCACCGGCTCCTTCTCCTTTTCGTTCTCCTTCTCGGTAGCCTCATCCTTGTCCTTCTCTTTATCCTCGGCTGCCTCCGTGTGCGGCGCTATGCCATTGGTGGTAGGCTTCGTGTCGGCCTCCTCGATCCTCTCGAGCTTGCCGTCGCCAGGTGCGGCCGCGTCGCCGACGACGCCTCCTTCGGCAGGTAAGCCCTCCTTCTTCGGCGTCGTCGTTATATCCACGGACCTCTTGCTTTGTCGCGCTCCCATGGTGCTGGTCGCTGCTTACCGTTGCTGGCTCTACCTTCCCGTGCCACCTGTCTTTATCTCACTCGCCTCCTGGCTACCAGGTGGTATCCAGCTAAACTGACCTGCAACGAGAAAGAGAAAGCGAATTAGAGAGCATATCACCGTGTCGTGTTCGATTTGGCGATATTTTATGATATCTCACGACGATCCACGATCCATTTCGGGAAAGAGCGAGCATTTTTTTCCCAAAGCCACCGGTCAGCGCTTCGCGAGAAAACTGCGCACGAAGAAGAGTTTCAGCCGTTTCGCAGCGCGCTGCAGTGAAATTGATACGCGCGAGAAGGGGATATCTCGCGAGAGGAGAGTAAGAGTGAGCCGGTAAAGCCCGCTCGATGCAGTTTGATGCAGTTACAAGCGTTACGCGCGTCTGATTTGCAACGGTTTCGCCGCGGATAAGATCATCTGCGCTGCGCGCGCGATGTGCGGGTGAATTGCGGCTCGCAGCGAGCCGAGAAGCGGGAGCGACTTTCACCGTAACAGATACATCACAGAGCCGCGAGGATAACTGGTCGATCCTGAGCGGACTCACTCACTTCGTCACGAGCGAGAAACGAGAGAGAGAGAGAGAGAGAGAGAGAGAGAGAGAGAGAAAGAGAGAGGGCCGAGGGTGCCCGAGAGAGGCGATCGTCGCGCGATTTACGGTCACCTGCGAGAGCACCGGCTCGATCCGATAAGCGAGATTTACACGTTTATCGATGCGACTTTCGCGCGGATTGGCGCGCGCGCGCGCGCAGGTGCTTCGAAGGAGGCGTCCGTACCGAAATGTCGCCGCGACGATCCTCGACGAACGCTGGATAATGCGAGCCGTACGTAAGGCGCGGTCGGGAAAACAAAGAACAACAAGAACAACGACACGACATGAAGAGATGCTCTTCCGTCGAGCGACAAGCAGGCATTGTCCCGCTCAAGAATTCTCGCCTGGCATATTCGTTTCCGTTATGCGCGTTCGGCTGAAAGAAGCGCGTAAAGTCCGCGTGAGAAAGCGCCTTTGTCACATGACATTACCGAAGCCATTACGTGTATCTACGTGATGCACGCCGCTCTTACGTCACAGATAATCGACAGGCGCTACAACGCGCCTAATGATAGGTTGATACGGTAATTTGTCATTTCTTCAACAAGATGACCCGAGAGGAGACTTATTTACTTAAGATAGAAAATCGTCACTAAATGTCGAAAACAAAAAGAAAAATACCGAGTTGCAGGTTTCGCTCTCATGAGAATCGCTAGTCCTTCGAGAAATCGGATAGTCCATTTCCGGATAACCCATTTTCCCATTTTATTTCGGGATTATTCGCAGCGCGAATAATTCCGCGACCTGACGCAAGCGGCTCCCGAGACGAACACGCAGATTTCAAGCTCTTATCGATCGACGCGAGCACACATCTCAAAAAGAGCACCGACCTCATAAAGACGCTGAGTTCACGAGAGAGCGTGTATCATCGACGAAGAGAGGCGCGCGACGTTCTCCGGTCGATCTTACTCACACGGAACGACGACGACGCGACGACACTCGAAAAAGAGGGAAAAGCGCGGTTCGCTGTCGCGGCTTCAATTGTCCTCGCGAGAGCAGGAGAATCAGGCTCGAACTCGTCGACGTGGATAACGGTGTTGCGCGGCGACTCTTCACGTAAAAGCGGAAACGCGCGCTGTACCGAGAGAACGGCCGCGAAAAACTGGCGCGCGGCGCGGCGTGGCGAAGCGCTAAGCAGCCGAGCTCGTTGGCGCGCGTCAGCGCGCATTTAAACGACCACGTGGCTCGCCGCCGTTCGTTGCGTACGTGCGTGAGCGAGGGAGCGAGCGAGAGGACAGACGAGCAGCTGACGGTCACGATGCGTAACGCATCTGCCGGTCACGACAATGTTAGACGAGGTCGTCCCTTTGTGCGCTTGTCGAGAAGAATATCCAGGGGGAGGGCCGATCGAAAAATACGCGGTTTCGCAGCATATAAATATTCGGAATATTCGGAGAGAGAACGCTCGACGCAAGTTTTATCTCGCAAATTTCCGGACTAGCTTGTAGGAATTTCATCACAGGAGACTCGATTCCTCTTCTTTTGAAATCAAATAAAAAAAAAAAAAAAAAAATCCGTTTTGACACACACACACACGGTTTGTCTCTTGATAAAATTACTCTCAACTTTTTGCAAGCCACCATAATTCCCTTCGAGATTAATATTACAATTCGACCGAATATCCTCTCATCTCTCGCCTTTCTCAGCATCCGAAATAATCCGAACGAGCGACCTTTCGTCGCGACGCGCAACACTGCACCGTGTACCCCACCGCCAAAAGAACAAAATCCTCACGAGATAATTGGAAACACGACGGACAGCTCGACTGCGATAAAGGATCGCGGAGACGGCGGGGGGGGGGGGGAATGAACAGGTGGATGCGGTCCTCACATCGCTGCACAGAATCCGCTCACTACATGTGCAAAGTGGCTCGTGACCCGTATATCTAATGATCTTTTAAGCGTTTCTCCTCGTTCCGAGACGCTCGACGTGAATGTATATGAGGTTGAATCGATAGCCCGCGCGCGTGCTCCAAGAGTCAGTAACTGTTATCAGCAGTCTCAAATTGGATCAAACGCTGTGCACTCGGGGGATATAAGCAGCCCGCCGCGCGACAGATATCGACCATGCGCGCATTTGTCGTGACATTTCGTCGTTTATTTCTGCCCTCACTTCGCCCACAGATATCGACTCCTCGGCCCGCTCTCGCTCGCTTCTCGCTCGCGGAGACCGTCGTCAGTCAGACGAAGATCGCCCGTAAATTGCTTCTTTCGATTTTCCCCGGGCGCATTCTTTCGCTTTTCATCGAGGAACAGGGCGTAGCATCAACACGCGGTCGGCCATCGCCGTCGTTCCACTCGCCGCGGCTGGAATTGCTTTTCTGCTTTCTAACGGCGCGCGTCTCCGCGGACTCGTCTCGTCCAGTTCGCACTACGACGCTGAAAGTCCACACAGCGATCGGACTGTCACGTCGAGCGGCTGCGGAACGCGAGTTGACTCTCCGGGCGCGGCGGATATTTCGTTTTGCGGACCGACACCGCGCGCGCATCAATGCGAGAGCCAAGTCGGAACCGCGGCTACAGGTATATCACTGTCGCCGCGCATAATGGCATTTGTTTCTAGGCAGCTTATTCACGGTGCATTGCACCTCAGCTTGCTGCATGCACCGACGCTAAGCACGCTTGCGCCAGCTGCCGCTGCTCGCTTTTGAGCGCGCACGCCATAACGGCACCGCGGTGACACGTTACAAGTCGGAAACGCGATGACACAATATTGTCACCTCTCCGGGAGATTCCGCAGCGCGGCGGCTTCACTCTCTCTCTCTCTCTCTCTCTCTCTCCTCCTTCTCTCTTTTTCTCGAGTGACTTTTAACGCCCGACGAGCTCCAACGAGTGACAAAGTTGCCGATCGAAACTTGCTCGCGCAATCCCTTGGCAACACACCTCCGGCACACGCTGTGCTTTGGCGAGCCAAACGCACAAATACGTTGTTAATCGCACGATCTTAGCCTTGCGATTGATCTCGCGATAACGAAACGCGAGCCTGAGAAAGCCGAGCGATATCGCGCTAAAGTGAAAGACGAAAATTGGGTCACAATGCTGTATATTTTCGAATGCGGGTGTTCTCAAACAGACCGCCGCGAATCCAGAAAATGAGTATCACGATGTCACGAAATAAATCGTCTCTCCGCCGATAGAGACACGGTACTACGCACAATGGAGCCGTTATTACAACGCCTTCACCCCAATAATGGAGCACAATGCTACCCCTATGGAGCAACGGATGGCGCGCACCCTGTCCCCGTCGTAGCCAAATTTTCGGAACAAATCGTAATAGGTCTCGCACAAAGGAGACGAGCGCGGACTCTATCGAGAGGGAGAGCACGACGCGACTACTCACGTGCCGCTTCGTTTCGTCCTTATTTCTTCCTTGATCAGCGAATTAGTAGCCTACGAGAGTGACTCGTGGACTCGCTGAACGCGCGCAGTGTGACGCATCGGCAAAACTCGCGGATGCAGGCCGGCACCCTCTCTCTCCGCCTACGCGCGATCGATTGTATCGTGTACATCCCGCAGAAAAATAGAAAAGGAACGAGGGACGGAGAAGGAGGAGGAGGAGGAGCAGGGGCAGGGGCTCGTGACGCTTCCTGAAAGCCTCAATCGTACCGAACCGACGCCGGAAGAGTCATCGCCGAGGCAGCCCGTAAAAATAGAGAAAGGGGATATAATTAGCGGCCGCTATATTAGGCAGAAAGAGTTTCGACTAACATTTATGTTATTCCATAACTCGTGTGCGCACATGTGGAACTCGGGGCCGGCCCGTAACGCGCCTCGCAAGTGAGAAATAGCACCAGCGTGCGTCCAAGAAGTGCACCGGAGAGCCTGAACGCGCGCGCACACATACACACACACACACGTGTCGATGTATAACGGGAAAGACGTGGGAAACGGAAAATCGTGCCGTCAGGAAAGGCAGCGCTTCTCTTCCATCAGCTCGCGCGTCCGCACTCGTCCTCCCGCGCTCTCTCTCTCTCTCTCTCTCTCTCTCTGGCTCCGTCTATCTCTGCGCCTCCCGTTCATTATAATAGGACCGCGAATTTCCGGCCGTGCGGAGGAAGGTCACGACGCGTATCGCGCCGCGCCGCTATATTTAGCGGCGAATATCGTCGCGGATGACACCGCGAGGTTCTGCCCCGTGCGATAAACGCGCGCTCGGCGAGCGAGCTTCTTCGTTGCCGGGGCGGACCGAGCCGCGCCGAACCGCGCGCGAAAGAACGAGCCTTCTCCTCGGTTCTCGAAGCCACCCCGCGATAAAAATAGGCCTCACGGAGAAAGGAAATTCACCGCGACCCGGCAGAGAGAGACAGAGAGAGAGAGAGAGAGAGACGCACCGGCATATTCGCGCACGAGAGAGAATGAGAGAGAGAGAGAGGGGGGGGGGAAGAGAGGAGCAAGAGAACGAGAGGGAAAAAAAAGGAAGAAAAGCCTTCTCGTTGACGCTGCAACGGAGTATGCGTACGCCCCATTCCCCTCCGCTGCTCCACTCGTT